TCTCTCTCTCTCTCTCTCTCTCTCTCTCTCTCTCTCTCTCTCTTGCGCGCAGCTGAGTTAGTATATCTTATCATATCGTTTCCGATATTTCCAAGGAAGCAAGATTATCGCTCCTTTTCGCAAACAAACCGTACGATACAGAGTATACACGGGAATAATCGAGCAAGCGCGTGTAAAAATTATCAGCGCCCTGAACAGCACGTTTCGGATAATCCCGGTGAAAATGGAGAAGGCGCAAAACAGAAATAATAAATATTTAGTTCAAAACGCCGCTCGCAATCGACTACGGTGTCCATTCTGCGCGAGTGGTTGACCGCGATCAAACGGAAAATAATACTCTCAATTATACGCTCTCGTTCTCCCGCATTGTGCGCTCAATCTCTGCGTGGGACTTTCAACCCGCGCGTGGGCGGCCCACGTCCACGTGTACACACACACGCGTACGTGACGGACGAGATAGAGCGATCGCGCGGGGATTTAAATGAGGTCCTCGCGCTGAAAAATATCTCGAAGAGAGCGCGCCAAAATTCGAAAATCGCCGCGAAAAGTCGTCGAGGCGCAAATCATGAAATTCGATTTCCCGAAATTCAATTTCCTGAAATGCACACTGACAAAGAATACCAGAAAATTTATTTACCTGATATGAAGTTTATTTCTGCGAATAAACTTTATATCCCCCACATATAAATTTTTAAGTATTTTTTTCTCAATGCACTGAAAAAAATACTTGAAGATCTATTTGTGGAATATGAAAGTTATTTCTGTGATACTAGGTTTATTTCTACGAATGAACTTTACATCCCACAAATAAATCTTCAAGTATTTTTTCTCAGTTCTCTACATGAGGTATAAAGTTTAAGTTTCTGTAAAACAGAGTTTATCTCTGTGAAATAAAGTCTATTTCTGTGAAAAATAAACCTTATATCCCACAAATAAATTTTCAAGTGTCTCCTTGTCTGTGCAACTTGCTTGCTCTCCAATGTTCTTGAAAGTTCCCTCGGCGGAACAATATTTCGAAATGCAAAAATCCCACTTTTATCAGTTCACGGGCAAGGAATTCCTCTCGTTACCTCGGACGACACGATGGACATAGTTCTAGGTGTACCGGGCCAGCTTCTGGATAACGAGCGTCCTTTCCGTTTTCTCACGACGATCCGAGGTCGTCCGGTTCTGCTGGTGTGTTTCAACATCGCGCACGACACGGACGATCTAGCCGAGGTTACAAAACTCCGCGACTGTACAGCACTTGCACGTGGTCCCGCCTCTCCTCATCGCCGTCACCACGCGAGACGACCTGGAGCCGTCATCCTCGTCCTCGTCGTTGTCGTCGTCGTCGTCGTGGTCGCTTCCTCACCGTGTTACCGATATATCACGTGCTCACAGTATTTGTAACCTTGCGCGACATTTATTTATTTTGATGCGTCGCGCTTCTTCTTCCTCCTCGTCACGTTACCACTCACTGGCGATCAGACACTTCGTGGACCCCGCAAAAACCGGGAACGAGCGTCGCTGTAAACACCAGGCGAGATACCTCGCGTGAACACACACCCGACCACGACGACGACGACGACGAGAAAGATCTTCGTGGGGAAACGCGGAGAAGCTGCGCAACATGCGGCGATGCACACGTAACGAACTTCACGCGCGCGTCTAATCACGGCGATTTGATCGGCACACACAGGGGGTAAAGAGGGGGAGGGGACCTTGCTTCTACTTCTAATCTCGAGGTCGACATCAACGACGGAGCGTCGGCTTCTGCGGAATCGTTAGCATGGCCATTATGTGCTCGACGCGCGTTCCAGATCCGACATATGTGCTCTTACGCACGTCGTGACTCGCGGAGAACTGAATCACGATGATTCTTGAAGAGGGCCAAAGACCGAGCGCCCGGTCACGTGACCGAGTACTCAGGAACGTAGAGAGTCTTATCGTGCGTCGCGATAAGTGTTTCGCTTATCGCGATCGGAAATGGAGAAATCTGATACTGTAAATAATGCGAGGAGAGAAGTATTCAAAATAGCATGAGACGATTCAATTTTGGCCACTTGAAAGCTTCGCGCCAACGCGAATGAAAGAGAAAATTGAAATACCAAGGGGAACTCTCTTGCCTGTTGCGACGTGTTGGAGTTTTAGGCAGCTTTGTCGAGAAAATCGGTGGCGAATGTGGCCCACACATGTGAACGTGAAACACATTACTTGAAGCGATTTTGAAAAATGAGCCTCGGACTCGAATGACAGAACGTTCCGACGATGGACCACCTTGAAAAGTCCAATGACCATGACAATCTGTCCTGCTGGGAATTGGGAAAAGAGAAGATGCGAAACGTGTCTACACGTGTCTATACTGGTTGGGGAATTGCCCATTAGCCGTCTTAGAACGGAGAGAACATATACACGGAAGAAAAGATTTGATTGAATTAATGAAACATCTGGTGAAATGTGTGTAGTGTGTGAACGAGCTAGAGTTCATATTGATGTTACCAGAATTCTGCTTTATTCATATTTCACTAGATATTTGATTAATCCGACAAAATATATATTTCTGTTTCCGTGTATATTATAATTTCTTTCGTATAAATTTTTGTCAGCTTTATGTGTTTTCAGTAATGCAGCAATAGACAATCAGTACACTCAGAAAAAAAGATACTTGAAAATTTATTTGTGAGATATAAACTTCATTCACAGAAGTAAACTTTATTTCACAGAAATAAATTTTTTATCCAACAAATAAATTTTCAAGTACTTCTTCTCAGTGTCACAAAGAAAAATGTATATTGCGCTCAAGTGAGTGTTACTTGTTCTAAGTGTTTTATAATATATCCGCAAATCTATCATAAGTTCATCATAGACATTGAATTTATTTCAAATACAATCTGAATCTTAATAAGTTTAGTACTTCAATCAACGATATTAAATTAAAATAAAAATTCGGTTTCTTTACTACACAAAGTCGGGCCAACTTTTGCTATTTTTTGGATAATGATTAAATTATACTTAAATTATGCTCATTACAAATTTTAGAGAGATTTATTATCATGTTCTCAAAAGAAGAACTTATTTAAGAATATCATAAAGCTCTGTCCAAGGAAAAGTTGGCTCGACATTGTGTAGTAAGCAAAGTTTAATGCTTTAATGTAACATTCTTGATTGAAATGCCAAACTTACCAGAATTCAGAATGTTTTTTGAGTAAATTTGACGCTAATGCGCGATGAGCTTATGATAGATTCATGGATATATTTTATAAAATTATAAAATACTCGAAACAAATAACTCTTCTCTTCAGAATCTCTTCCTGCACGAGACAGATCATTTATAAAAGCCACGAAAGATGTTTAAAGTTACGGCAATATTTTTCAATGACTAATATCACACGTCACGGGATCATTGTGCCTCAGCGTGCCTCTTTCGACGAATACCCACATACCACTCCATCATTTATTCATACACTGCTTTGACGTTCGCGAAAAATTCGCACGTTCGCGAGCTTCGAGATCATAATTCGACGACATCACGTGTACGAAAAAAGGAAAGAATTCTTGCGCTAAATGCGCCGGATGGAACATAAATCGTAGCTATGCACGAGTTCAGAGAGAGAGACAGAGAGAGAGAGAGAGAGAGAGAGAGAGAGAGAGAGAGAGAGAGAAGGAGCGCGTTGATGAACGTCAGGGCATAAAATGTCTCTCGGCGTTGTTGTGCCACGAGGATTCATACGGATGTACAGGCTAAAAATTTCTCCGTGAGACCTCCGCGAACGAGTCGGCATCGCGTATTCATACGCGCGCGCTGCTCGGCGCCTGTCTACTTTATTTTCGGTCCTTCCTGCGCTCGGACGGCACACCATTGGCGTCACGGAGGTAGTCCTAAAAACCGAGCGTGCACGAGAGACCCCCTGAAAACGCCGGCAGAATCCGGTAACGGTAAAAAGAACGACGCCGTTTCTATGGCGAAAGGCGAAAATAGCACCGGCTGCATTCCGGCCGAAAGCGAGAAAGAAGCGTGCACGAGAGATGACGGGAAAGGCGAAAGGTATGGAAAACATATCCTCCGACGAGCGAAGGAACAACCGAAACACGCGAATTTCCCGGAGCTCCCTCTGTCTGAACCGAAAGAATGAGGATTCGAAAAGTGTGTCTCCCGCGGGAGGAAGGAAACGAAGTCGCGAGCAAGACGCGAACGCGAGTTGTAATCGTGATATTGCGAGAAAGAAATCGGCAAATATTTCCCGAGGGTCTCGCAAGGTACGTAAAATCTAGGTGCAGAGCACTACAAATATATCCAGGTGAACTTTCATAATTATCACGAAGTTTTAGACAATTGATAATGGAAACTTTGTCATTTCTTTAAGTTGTATTTATGAAGCAAATACACTGTACTGAATTCATAATCAAATCAAATTTACATCGTATAGTAACGTTAATTTTTTTGTTATACTGATGCGGCAACGAATTTACTGAAAATTGCACACCTAGATTTTCGTGTTATATTTTACATGACGTATTGTGTCAAGCGAGTTTTTACGTTTACAAAACAAATATCCCGGATAGACAAGTGTACCTCAATTTGACAGTGAATTTACTAATCGATTTAGTCGATAAAGGTTGCGTCCCTTGTGTGAGTGTTTCATATGGCACTCATATTTATCATATAGAGTGATAAAATAGAAAGACGAAAGAAATATTCGTGCAATTAAAGAATCATCAAAATCATTTGTCGTGTAAAATGTAATATGAAAATATGTGTGTACTCACTCGATCATTAAAGTTATATCGCACAATAGTGTAAATTTTTTGCTACATTGATGCAACAAATTTACTGAAAGTTAATGTCTGACCTGTAGTAAATTTTAAAAAGTTAGTGTTTACTCATCTTTACATTTACATTTTTATATTATATTTTACAAAATATATATTTTAAGAAAATTTTCATAATTTTTTTGTATGGTCTTCGTACTTTTATTTCGCCATTCTATATGACAAATATGCGTGCCATATAAACCACGAAATGGCATTATTATGTTCATAAACAGCCATTAATTATTGACCAAATTTTGAATGTCGATTTTTGGCCAAAGTTCTTATTTCGCACAGCGACGTTATATATCGTTAAACTTGTCTCAAGATGAATACTTTTAAAAAATATATATCTTTAACTTTATCTTTAGATACTGTACGCCACTATAGTGGCTTTCGCGTATGTCATCCTTCTGAACGGTACACCACTATAGTGGCTCATTCTTACTTCTAATAAATTATAATTTATTTATCTGTATTAAAACTGTATTCTAATGTATTTGCGTAATAAAAAACATGACCAGACACAAATCGCAGTGTTGCATTGTTTTCGCGCAGTCCGCGTTGAACTTTACCATACAAAGATACAGCTCCGCGGAAAGTCCTGCCGTAGTTGAGAGGTTAAAAAGATTTCACTAACACTTCGTGAGTGCCGAATCTGAACTTCGAGTTAGATTTGAGTTTTTACTTGAATCATGTAAAATATATGAGACATTACATTCGTAACTGCGATTCAGCTAAAAATTCACATCTACCTCTGAATTGAAATCTGAATATCTCAACTGAGACAAGTTTAAAAAAAATAATGCAACCTTTACAAATCGACTAGTAAAGATTGAATTCTGAGAAGTTTTGTCACTTCGACCAAGAATGTTAAATTAAAACATAAATTTCTTTTACTTTCTACATAGAGTCGTCCCAACACTTTCTTGTATACAGTTTTATGATATTCTTGCAAAGGGAATAAGTTCTTCTTTTGAGAACATACCAGTGATTTTTAAAATTTGTAATGAATATAATTTAAGACTATTATAAAAAAATAGCAAAAGTTTGTTCAACTTTACGTAGTAAACACATGAATTTTTGTTTTAATCTATATATTCTTATATATATATATATGTGTGTGTGTGTGTATATGTATATATATATCTATATATAATATTCTTGATTGAAGTGCTAAACTTACTCAGAATGTATTTAAAGTAAATTCAATGCTTACGATAGATTTTCGGATATATTATAAACTTATAAAACACTTGAAACCCAAAAGTATTTACTTGAGCGCAGTATGTACTTTTCTGTGTGCACAGTCCATTTCTACATTATACTAAAAACACAATAAAATTAAAAAGAACTTATACGAAAGTTCCTGGAAAATAGACATACATCTATCTACCTAGATTAGAAATCGCTACTGCTGCTGCTGCGATTGATAAAGAAAAGGGGGAGAAGATAAGGTGCGAATATTCAGGCGTGTTACAGGGGAATCGCGATGCGATATCGAACGATCGCAATTTCACTTGCAATTACGTAAGCCGAACAATTTCCGTGTCGAAACTGCGTTATCGTCGTTAACTGCATTCACACGCCGTGCTCGGCGATCCTGTCCAATTAACACTCTCATCCTCATCTTCTGAAGATATACGCGTGTCCAGGTAGCGACGAAGGTACCGTCGTGCTATCGAAAATCCCGGGTGAGCCAAAGGAGCCACAACTTCAAGAGGCTTTTCTAAACTTAATCTACAATGTGCTCTTTGCTTCTTGTTTTTGTTCTTTGTGTTTTTCTGGATTAAGGTTTAAGTCAGAGAGAGAGAAAGAGAGAGGGAAATAAAAAGAAAGAAATAAGAAATAAAGAATTGTATTGTAGATGAAGCTTTCCTTAAGTTTAATCTATAATATATTCTTTGCTTCCTGTTATTGTTCTCTGTCTTTTTCTGACTTAAGATTTAAAGTTTGAAGTTTGAGTCGGAGAGAGAAAGAGAGAGAGAACGAAAAAAATAAGAAGCAAAGAACGTATTTTAGATCAAGTTTTTTCTAAGTTTAATCTACAATGTCCTTTTTGCTTCCTGTTTTTGTTCTGTCTTTTTCTGACTTAAAACTTAAGGTTTAAGTCAGAGAGAGAGAGAAAGCAAAGAACGTATTGTAGATGAAGCTCTAGAAGTCCCAAAAAGTTCACACTGACAATGAGAGGTCCCACCGAGAGACCTACGGCGGAACAATTAGCCGACACGCGACTGTTTCCCCGCAAATCCTCCCACGACAATCATCCTCCGTATTACGCGCCTAGCCAGCGCGCGACGCTTTTTTCGCACCATTCACTCACAGTCGCAACTTTTGCGAAGCGCTCCTGTTTCGCACTTGGCCGATTAATTGAGCCCCGTCGGTCGCTCAATTAATCATCGCGATGCACTCGACGATTAATCACCGGGACTTCCTCTCCTCCGGAATACACTCGAATATACGAGGGCTCTTTCGGTCACGAGCATTCGGAACAACGTGGTCGACCATGCCGATCGAGGCACGAAAAGCGACTGGGGCCGCACGCTCGTCCGCCGCACGATAAGCACGCTATCTCCACCGCGGATGTTCATTTTTTGTCACTGCGCACACGAACACTTAATCACGGGGCTGCAATCGTCATACGGAAAGGCGGGGGCAGGGCAGGGGACAGTTCCATGTTGCGTACAGGAGGAACACGTTCGCGAGGGCGGCCCGCTCAACATGTACCGGTCGCGTCATTAATTTGCCAACGTTTGCGCACTTGTCGCAATTTCTCGCGAGCTATGATACGATCCAAGGTTCAACGCGTTTGCCTTCATCGACGAATTCCTCAGCGGGCGCGACGGGCCAGACATTTCCTCGACGAAGACGCGGCGGTACAGTTTCTCACTGTGCGAATAACGCGGCGACCAATGGAAATTAAGTCTGCAGAAATCATCGCTCACAGCTCAGACGGGTTCATATTTTAAGGTGGATATGATAAAATGTTTTTCCATCTGATTTCGAGAAGACTCGATTCTCTGGTGCAATTATAATAATAAACAATTTTGTGTTGAATTTAACACATTTCACATGTCCGGAATGATACGCCTAAATTTTTGTGTTAATCTAACACAACAAGCCAATATGTCAGCAAATAACACAAATATTATGGAGGAATTATGTCAAAATTTAATACAAAAAAATTAACACCGACATTATTTTGAAGTAAATTTTTTTCATACAAAACTGACATATTTATTATGCCAAATGTAACGCAAAAAATGTTATTTTCGCAGTGAGAAAAATGTTTTATTTATCTCCTTTTTTGTTGCATTGATTTTTAAAGTATTATCATTGACTTTACCTGAAATCTTCTTGACTATATGTTCTCTTATTTTTTTTAGGTTTTTATTTAAATTTTTTTTTAAGTACATAATAAGAGCATTTTTCTATTTATTGAAATTCATCAACATATAAATTTTACTTGTATGTTAATTTAACATATTATCGTTGTGTTATTTTGACTATTCTGCGTTGAATTCATATTCTCCATTTCTGACTGTTAAAATAATACAATTTATATATAAATTGTATGAATTCTTGGTGACATATTTTATATGTAAAATACACAAATAAGTTGTGTTATTTGTTAATATATTTATTTTATATTAAATTAAGACAAAGTTAAGGTTGGGATATGTGAAATATGTTAAATTTAACAGAAAACTTTTTGCCGCGTATATAATATACTGTAATACGATGCAATACAATATAATGTGTCTTGACTGAATATAATGCAATATACAAGGTGTCTGAAAATTCCAGACATAGCCGTGGTA